ACCTTGTTACCAGACCAACTCACTCACCTGTCAACCCCTACTCAGTGTCCTACCTTGTTACAGACCAACTCACTCACCTGTCAACCCTAGTCAGTGTCCTACCTTGTTACAGACCAACTCACTCACCTGTCAACCCTAATCAGTGTCCTACCTTGTTACAGACCAACTCACTCACCTGTCAACCCCTACGTCAGTGTCCTACCTTGTTACAGACCAACTCACTCACCTGTCAACCCTACTCAGTGTCCTACCTTGTTACAGACCAACTCACTCACCTGTCAACCCATAGTCAGTGTCCTACCTTGTTACAGACCAACTCACTCACCTGTCAACCCCTACTCAGTGTCCTACCTTGTTACAGACCAACTCACTCACCTGTCAACCCCTACTCAGTGTCCTACCTTGTTACAGACCAACTCACTCACCTGTCAACCCCTACTCAGTGTCCTACCTTGTTACAGACCAACTCACTCACCTGTCAACCCCTACTCAGTGTCCTACCTTGTTACAGACCAACTCACTCACCTGTCAACCCCTACTCAGTGTCCTACCTTGTTACAGACCAACTCACTCACCTGTCAACCCATAGTCAGTATCCTACCTTGTTACAGACCAACTCACTCACCTGTCAACCCCTACTCAGTGTCCTACCTTGTTACAGACCAACTCACTCACCTGTCAACCCCTACTCAGTGTCCTACCTTGTTACAGACCAACTCACTCACCTGTCAACCCCTACTCAGTGTCCTACCTTGTTACAGACCAACTCACTCACCTGTCAACCTCTACTCAGTGTCCTACCTTGTTACAGACCAACTCACTCACCTGTCAACCCTAGTCAGTGTCCTACCTTGTGACAGACCAACTCACTCACCTGTCAACCCCTACTCAGTGTCCTACCTTGTTACAGACCAACTCACTCACCTGTCAACCCCTACTCAGTGCCCTACCTTGTTACAGACCAACTCACTCACCTGTCAACCCTAGTCAGTGTCCTACCTTGTGACAGACCAACTCACTCACCTGTCAACCCCTACTCAGTGTCCTACCTTGTTACAGACCAACTCACTCACCTGTCAACCCCTACTCAGTGTCCTACCTTGTTACAGACCAACTCACTCACCTGTCAACCCCTACTCAGTGTCCTACCTTGTTACAGACCAACTCACTCACCTGTCAACCCCTACTCAGTGTCCTACCTTGTTACAGACCAACTCACTCACCTGTCCACCCCTACTCAGTGTCCTACCTTGTTACAGACCAACTCACTCACCTGTCAACCCCTACTCAGTGTCCTACCTTGTTACAGTCCAACTCACTCACCTGTCAACCCCTACTCACCTTGTTACAGACCAACTCACTCGCCTGTCAACCCCTACTCAGTGTCCTACCTTGTTACAGACCAACTCACTCACCTGTCAACCCCTACTCAGTGTCCTACCTTGTTACAGACCAACTCACTCACCTGTCAACCCCTACTCAGTGTCCTACCTTGTTACAGACCAACTCACTCACCTGACAACCCCTACTCAGTGTCCTACCTTGTTACAGACCAACTCACTCACCTGTCAACCCCTACTCAGTGTCCTACCTTGTTACAGACCAACTCACTCACCTGTCAACCCATAGTCAGTGTCCTACCTTGTTACAGACCAACTCACTCACCTGTGAACCCCTACTCAGTGTCCTACCTTGTTACAGACCAACTCACTCACCTGTCAACCCCTAGTCAGTGCCCTACCTTGTTACAGACCAACTCACTCACCTGTCAACCCCTACTCAGTGTCCTACCTTGTTACAGACCAACTCACTCACCTGTCAACCCCTAATCAGTGTCCTACCTTGTTACAGACCAACTCACTCACCTGTCAACCCCTACTCAGTGTCCTACCTTGTTACAGACCAACTCACTCACCTGTCAACCCTAGTCAGTGTCCTACCTTGTTACAGACCAACTCACTCACCTGTCAACCCTAGTCAGTGTTCTACCTTGTTACAGACCAACTCACTCACCTGTCAACCCCTACTCAGTGTCCTACCTTGTTACAGACCAACTCACTCACCTGTCAACCCCTACTCAGTGTCCTACCTTGTTACAGACCAACTTACTCACCTGTCAACCATTAGTCAGTGTCCTACCTTGTTACAGTCCAACTCACTCATCTGTCAACCCCTACTCAGTGTCCTACCTTGTTACAGTCCAACTCACTCACCTGTCAACCCCTACTCAGTGTCCTACCTTGTTACAGACCAACTCACTCACCTGTCAACCCTAGTCAGTGTCCTACCTTGTTACAGACCAACTCACTCACCTGTCAACCCCTACTCAGTGTCCTACCTTGTGACAGACCAACTCACTCACCTGTCAACCCCTACTCAGTGTCCTACCTTGTTACAGACCAACTTACTCACCTGTCAACCCTTAGTCAGTGTCCTACCTTGTTACAGACCAACTCACTCACCTGTTAACCCCTACTCAGTGTCCTACCTTGTTACAGACCAACTCACTCACCTGTCAACCCCTACTCAGTGTCCTACCTTGTTACAGACCAACTCACTCACCTGTCAACCCTTACTCAGTGTCCTACCTTGTTACAGACCAACTCACTCACCTGTCCACCCCTACTCAGTGTCCTACCTTGTTACAGACCAACTCACTCACCTGTCAACCCCTACTCAGTGTCCTACCTTGTTACAGACCAACTCACTCACCTGTCAACCCTAGTCAGTGTCCTACCTTGTTACAGACCAACTCACTCACCTGTCTACCCATAGTCAGTGTCCTACCTTGTTACAGACCAACTCACTCACCTGTCTACCCATAGTCAGTGTCCTACCTTGTTACAGACCAACTCACTCACCTGTCAACCCCTACTCAGTGTCCTACCTTGTTACAGACCAACTCACTCACCTGTCAACCCATAGTCAGTGTCCTACCTTGTTACAGACCAACTCACTCACCTGTCAACCCCTACTCAGTGTCCTACCTTGTTACAGACCAACTCACTCACCTGTCAACCCCTACTCAGTGTCCTACCTTGTTACAGACCAACTCACTCACCTGTCAACCCCTACTCAGTCTCCTACCTTGTTACAGACCAACTCACTCACCTGTCAACCCCTACTCAGTGTCCTACCTTGTTACAGACCAACTCACTCACCTGTCAACCCCTACTCAGTGTCCTACCTTGTTACAGACCAACTCACTCACCTGTCAACCCCTAGTCAAGTGTCCTACCTTGTTACAGACCAACTCACTCACCTGTCAACCCCTACTCAGTGTCCTACCTTGTTACAGACCAACTCACTCACCTGTCAACCCCTACTCAGTGTCCTACCTTGTGACAGACCAACTCACTCACCTGTCAACCCCTACTCAGTGTCCTACCTTGTTACAGACCAACTCACTCACCTGTCAACCCATAGTCAGTCTCCTACCTTGTTACAGACCAACTCACTCACCTGTCAACCCCTACTCAGTGTCCTACCTTGTTACAGACCAACTCACTCACCTGTCAACCCCTACTCAGTGTCCTACCTTGTGACAGACCAACTCACTCACCTGTCAACCCCTACTCAGTGTCCTACCTTGTTACAGACCAACTCACTCACCTGTCAACCCCTACTCAGTGTCCTACCTTGTTACAGACCAACTCACTCACCTGTCAACCCCTACTCAGTGTCCTACCTTGTTACAGACCAACTCACTCACCTGTCAACCCCTACTCAGTGTCCTACCTTGTTACAGACCAACTCACTCACCTGTCAACCCCTACTCAGTGTCCTACCTTGTGACAGACCAACTCACTCACCTGTCAACCCCCTACTCAGTGTCCTACCTTGTTACAGACCAACTCACTCACCTGTCAACCCCTACTCAGTGTCCCTACCTTGTGACAGACCAACTCACTCACCTGTCAACCCCTACTCAGTGTCCTACCTTGTGACAGACCAACTCACTCACCTGTCAACCCCTACTCAGTGTCCTACCTTGTTACAGACCAACTCACTCACCTGTCAACCCCTACTCAGTGTCCTACCTTGTTACAGACCAACTCATTCACCTGTCAACCCCTACTCAGTGTCCTACCTGGTAGTCACCCGGCGTGTCTGCGACTCAGTTTGAACCCATTACACATTTATCATGGATGATTTTACTTCATTTGTAATCGAGTATCTTACTTTGCCTATAATCGATGATCTTTCTATTTTTATCGATGATCTTGCTGGATTTTTAATCGATCTTACTGTATTCATAATCGATTATCTTACTAAATTTATAAACGACTATCTATATTTCTAACCGATAATCTTACTTTGTCTATAATCGATTATCTTGCTGTTTTTTTAATAATCGATGATCTTGCTGGGTTTTATAATCGATTATCTTACTTTGCCTATAATCGATTATCTTACTGTTTTTATCGATGATATTGCTGGATTTATCTTACTAAATTTATAACCGACTGTCTTTCTAATCGATTAATTTACTGTATTTATAATCGATGATCTCACTGTTGTTATAATCGATTATCTAACTGTATTTATAATCGATCTTACTGTATTTATAATCGATAATCTTACTTTGTCTAAAATCGATTATCTTGCTGTTTTTATAATCGATGATCTTGCTGGGTTTATAATCGATGATCTCACTGCATTACAATCGATGAACTTATCGCATTCATTAACGATGATTCTGATGACGTAACCATCAACAACGGAATCGATTCCCCCCTTAATCCATCACCGCCATCAGGAATCGATTCCCTCCTCCTCACCCCCACTACTCCTTGCCCCGCCCTCCACCGTGACGGGAATCGATTCCTCACCCGCCCAAGTCACTCCAACCACGGGAATCGGAATCGAAACGAGTGCAGGCTGAGGATTTGATGATGAATTGTGACCTAAAACGTCGCGAGGTTTTTTATTTTTATTTTTTTATTTTTATTCTTCACTTTCATTTTTATTCTTCGCTTTTCACTTTTCGTTGTTGTAATTTTATTTATTTTATTTTCTAGTCACGTGACTTTACCGAAAGACCCCAACATTAGGGGATTGATGATGGTGAGCGTGGTGATGATGGAGGAAGATTCCTCCTCATCGTGATAATCTTGCTGCAAATATCATCCACGACCTCACCGCACGAATAATCGATTATCACACTGCACGATTAATCGATTATCTCACCGCACGAATAATCGATTATCTCACCGTGTGAATAATCGATTATCTCACCGCACGAATAATCGATTATCTCCCCGCACGAATAATCGATTATCTCACCGCACGAATGATCGATTATCTCACCGCACGAATAATCGATTATCTCACCGCACGAATGATCGATTATCTCACCGCGTGAATAATCGATTATCTCACCGCACGAATAATCGATTATCTCACCGCGTGAATAATCGATTATCGCACCGCATGAATAATCGATTATCTCACCGCATGCATAATCGATTATCTCACCGCATGAACAATCGATTATCTCACCGCATGAATAATCGATGACGCTTCTAATGACTGCAGCTTAAACAACAACAACGGAATCGATTCCCCTCTAGAACCGTCAACTTCGCCATCACCGGAATCGATTCCGCGCCCGCTATTATTAAAACTCAGTCCACGAAGAATCGGAATCGAGTGCAGTCAGAGGGTTGTAACGATCATGGAGGTGATTGAGGTGATTCCTCCTCCTCGTCCTCCTCGTGATAATCTTGCCGCAAACATCATCCACGACCTCACCGCATCCGCAATCGATTACCGCAACACCGGAATCGATTCCGCTCTGAAACATTCGGAATCGAATCCGCGCGCTGAATTATAATCTGAATCGTAACGGAATCGGAATCGTGTAGTTGTTGTGGTGGTGATGATGGCCGCTGATGGTGCCTCATCCACCTCCTCCTCCACCTCCTCATCATCCTCCTCCTCCTGGTACCCCTCGAGCCTCCTCCTCCTCGTCGTCCTCCTCCTCCTCGTCGTCGTCTTCGTCGTCCTCGCAGCCGCCACGGGCAGCGGCCGCCGTCTCCGCACGCTGCTAGCGCGCGGCCTCGCCGCCGCGTTCGGCGAGCGACGCGGCGACGAGGTGGGGGTAGGCGATGAGGAGGAGGAGGAGGAGGGGGAGGTGGGGGTGGGGGGCCGTGAGGAGGTGGGGGGCCCCATGAAGAGGAGAGACTTCACGCTGCAGCAGCTGAACCTCTTCGACGGGGAGCGCGAGGCGCGGATCTTGGTGGCGGTGAACGGCAAAGTCTTCGACGTCTCGTGCGGGCGGAGATTCTACGGCAAAGGTGGTGAGGGTGGTGGTGAGGGTGGTGGTGGTGGTGGTGAGGGTGGTGGTGAGGGTGGTGGTGAGGGTGGTGGTGAGGGTGAGGATGGTGGTGAGGGTGGTGGTGGTGAGGGTGGTGGTGAGGGTGGTGGTGAGGGTGGTGGTGAGGGTGGTGGTGGTGGTGAGGGTGGTGGTGAGGGTGGTGGTGGTGGTGAGGGTGGTGGTGGTGAGGGTGGTGGTGGTGAGGGTGGTGGTGGTGAGGGTGGTGGTGGTGGTGAGGGTGATGGTGGTGAGGGTGATGGTGGTGAGGGTGGTGGTGGTGGTGAGGGTGGTGGTGGTGAGGGTGGTGGTGGTGAGGGTGGTGGTGGTGAGGGTGGTGGTGGTGAGGGTGGTGGTGGTGAGGGTGGTGGTGGTGAGGGTGGTGGTGGTGAGGGTGGTGGTGATGGTGGTGGTGAGGGTGGTGAGGGGGGTGGTGGTGAGGGTGGTGGTGGTGAGGGTGGTGGTGGTGAGGGTGGTGGTGAGGGTGGTGGTGAGGGTGGTGGTGAGGGTGGTGGTGGTGGTGGTGAGGGTGGTGAGGGTGGTGGTGGTGAGGGTGGTGGTGGTGAGGGTGGTGGTGGTGAGGGTGGTGGTGTTGGTGGTGGTGGTGATGGTGGTGGTGGTGAGGGTGGTGGTGGTGAGGGTGGTGAGGGTGGTGGTGGTGAGGGTGGTGGTGTTGAGGGTGGTGGTGGTGAGGGTGGTGGTGAGGGTGGTGGTGTGGGTGGTGGTGAGGGTGGTGGGGGTGGTGGTGAGGGTGGTGAGGGTGGTGGTGGTGAGGGTGGTGGTGGTGATGGTGGTGGTGGTGAGGGTGGTGGTGGTGAGGGTGGTGAGGGTGGTGAGGGTGGTGGTGGTGGTGAGGGTGGTGGTGGTGAGGGTGGTGGTGGTGAGGGTGGTGGTGGTAATGGTGAGGGTGGTGAGGGTGGTGGTGGTGAGGGTGGTGGTGGTGAGGGTGGTGGTGAGGGTGGTGGTGAGGGTGGTGGTGAGGGTGGTGGTGAGGGTGGTGGTGAGGGTGGTGGTGAGGGTGGTGGTGATGGTGGTGATGATGGTGGTGAGGGTGGTGGTGGTGGTGAGGGTGGTGAGGGTGGTGGTGGTGGTGAGGGTGGTGAGGGTGGTGGTGATGGTGGTGGTGGTGAGGGTGGTGAGGGTGGTGGTGATGAGGGTGGTGGTGAGGGTGGTGGTGAGGGTGGTGGTGGTGGTGAGGGTGGTGGTGGTGGTGGTGAGGGTGGTGGTGAGGGTGGTGGTGGTGAGGGTGGTGGTGGTGAGGGTGGTGAGGGTGGTGGTGGTGAGGGTGGTGGTGGTGGTGTGGGTGGTGGTGGTGAGGGTGGTGGTGGTGAGGGTGGTGGTGGTGAGGGTGGTGATGGTGGTGGTGGTGAGGGTGGTGGTGGTGGTGAGGGTGGTGGTGGTGAGGGTGGTGATGGTGGTGGTGGTGAGGGTGGTGGTGGTGAGGGTGGTGGTGATGGTGGTGGTGAGGGTGGTGGTGGTGTGGGTGGTGGTGAGGGTGGTGGTGGTGAGGGTGGTGGTGAGGGTGGTGGTGAGGGTGGTGGTGAGGGTGGTGGTGAGGGTGGTGGTGGTGAGGGTGGTGGTGAGGGTGGTGGTGATGGTGGTGGTGAGGGTGGTGAGGGTGGTGGTGGGGAGGGTGGTGGTGGTGAGGGTGGTGGTGGTGAGGGTGGTGGTGAGGGTGGTGGTGAGGGTGGTGGTGAGGGTGGTGGTGGTGAGGGTGGTGAGGGTGGTGGTGGTGAGGGTGGTGGTGGTGAGGGTGGTGGTGGTGAGGGTGGTGGTGGTGAGGGTGGTGGTGATGGTGGTGGTGGTGATGGTGGTGGTGGTGAGGGTGGTGGTGGTGAGGGTGGTGAGGGTGGTGGTGGTGAGGGTGGTGGTGGTGAGGGTGGTGGTGGTGAGGGTGGTGGTGAGGGTGGTGGTGAGGGTGGTGGTGAGGGGGGTGGTGGTGGTGGTGAGGGTGGTGAGGGTGGTGGTGGTGAGGGTGGTGGTGGTGAGGGTGGTGGTGGTGAGGGTGGTGGTGATGGTGGTGGTGGTGATGGTGGTGGTGGTGAGGGTGGTGGTGGTGTGGGTGGTGAGGGTGGTGGTGGTGTGGGTGGTGGTGGTGGTGAGGGTGGTGGTGGTGGTGAGGGTGGTGGTGGTGAGGGTGGTGGTGGTGAGGGTGGTGGTGGTAATGGTGAGGGTGGTGAGGGTGGTGGTGGTGAGGGTGGTGGTGGTGAGGGTGGTGGTGAGGGTGGTGGTGAGGGTGGTGGTGAGGGTGGTGGTGAGGGTGGTGGTGAGGGTGGTGGTGAGGGTGGTGGTGAGGGTGGTGGTGGTGAGGGTAGTGAGGGTGGTGGTGGTGGTGAGGGTGGTGAGGGTGGTGGTGGTGGTGAGGGTGGTGAGGGTGGTGGTGATGGTGGTGGTGGTGAGGGTGGTGGTGGTGAGGGTGGTGGTGAGGGTGGTGGTGGTGAGGGTGGTGGTGGTGGTGGTGAGGGTGGTGGTGATGAGGGTGGTGGTGAGGGTGGTGGTGAGGGTGGTGGTGGTGGTGAGGGTGGTGGTGGTGGTGGTGAGGGTGGTGGTGAGGGTGGTGGTGGTGAGGGTGGTGGTGGTGAGGGTGGTGAGGGTGGTGGTGGTGAGGGTGGTGGTGGTGGTGGTGTGGGTGGTGGTGGTGAGGGTGGTGGTGGTGAGGGTGGTGGTGGTGAGGGTGGTGAGGGTGGTGGTGGTGAGGGTGGTGGTGGTGGTGAGGGTGGTGGTGGTGAGGGTGGTGATGGTGGTGGTGGTGATGGTGGTGGTGGTGAGGGTGGTGGTGATGGTGGTGGTGAGGGTGGTGGTGGTGATGGTGGTGGTGAGGGTGGTGGTGGTGAGGGTGGTGGTGAGGGTGGTGGTGAGGGTGGTGGTGAGGGTGGTGGTGAGGGTGGTGGTGGTGAGGGTGGTGGTGAGGGTGGTGAGGGTGGTGGTGATGGTGGTGGTGAGGGTGGTGAGGGTGGTGGTGGTGAGGGTGGTGGTGGTGAGGGTGGTGGTGGTGAGGGTGGTGGTGAGGGTGGTGGTGAGGGTGGTGGTGGTGGTGGTGAGGGTGGTGATGGTGGTGGTGGTGAGGGTGGTGGTGGTGAGGGTGGTGGTGGTGAGGGTGGTGGTGATGGTGGTGGTGGTGATGGTGGTGGTGGTGAGGGTGGTGGTGGTGAGGGTGGTGAGGGTGGTGGTGGTGAGGGTGGTGGTGGTGGGGGTGGTGGTGGTGAGGGTGGTGGTGAGGGTGGTGGTGAGGGTGGTGGTGAGGGTGGTGGTGGTGGTGGTGAGGGTGGTGAGGGTGGTGGTGGTGAGGGTGGTGGTGGTGAGGGTGGTGGTGGTGAGGGTGGTGGTGATGGTGGTGGTGGTGTTGGTGGTGGTGGTGAGGGTGGTGGTGGTGAGGGTGGTGAGGGTGGTGGTGGTGAGGGTGGTGGTGGTGGTGAGGGTGGTGGTGGTGGTGAGGGTGGTGGTGGTGGTGAGGGTGGTGGTGGTGAGGGTGGTGGTGGTGAGGGTGGTGGTGGGTATGGTGAGGGTGGTGAGGGTGGTGGTGGTGAGGGTGGTGGTGGTGAGGGTGGTGGTGAGGGTGGTGGTGAGGGTGGTGGTGAGGGTGGTGGTGAGGGTGGTGGTGAGGGTGGTGGTGAGGGTGGTGGTGAGGGTAGTGAGGGTGGTGGTGGTGGTGAGGGTGGTGAGGGTGGTGGTGGTGGTGAGGGTGGTGAGGGTGGTGGTGATGGTGGTGGTGGTGAGGGTGGTGGTGGTGAGGGTGGTGGTGAGGGTGGTGGTGGTGTGGGTGGTGGTGGTGGTGGTGAGGGTGGTGAGGGTGGTGGTGATGAGGGTGGTGGTGAGGGTGGTGGTGAGGGTGGTGGTGGTGGTGAGGGTGGTGGTGGTGGTGGTGAGGGTGGTGGTGAGGGTGGTGGTGGTGAGGGTGGTGGTGGTGAGGGTGGTGGTGGTGAGGGTGGTGAGGGTGGTGGGGGTGAGGGTGGTGGTGGTGGTGAGGGTGGTGGTGGTGAGGGTGGTGGTGGTGAGGGTGGTGGTGGTGAGGGTGGTGAGGGTGGTGGTGGTGAGGGTGGTGGTGGTGGTGAGGGTGGTGGTGGTGAGGGTGGTGATGGTGGTGGTGGTGAGGGTGGTGGTGGTGATGGTGGTGGTGATGGTGGTGGTGAGGGTGGTGGTGGTGAGGGTGGTGGTGAGGGTGGTGGTGGTGAGGGTGGTGGTGAGGGTGGTGGTGAGGGTGGTGGTGAGGGTGGTGGTGAGGGTGGTGGTGGTGAGGGTGGTGGTGAGGGTGGTGAGGGTGGTGGTGATGGTGGTGGTGGTGAGGGTGGTGGTGGTGAGGGTGGTGGTGATGGTGGTGGTGGTGGTGAGGGTGGTGTGGGTGGTGGTGGTGAGGGTGGTGGTGTGGGTGGTGTGGGTGGTGGTGGTGAGAGTGGTGGTGCTGAGGGTGGTGGTGAGGGTGGTGGTGGTGAGGGTGGTGGTGACGGTGATGGTGGTGGTGAGGGTGGTGGTGGTGGTGAGGGTGGTGGTGGTGGTGAGGGTGGTGGTGGTGGTGAGGGTGGTGGTGGTGGTGAGGGTGGTGGTGGTGGTGGTGAGGGTGGTGGTGGTGAGGGTGGTGGTGGTGAGGGTGGTGGTGGTGAGGGTGGTGGTGGTGAGGGTGGTGGTGGTGAGGGTGGTGGTGGTGGTGAGGGTGGTGGTGGTGAGGGTGGTGGTGGTGGTGGTGGTGAGGGTGGTGGTGGTGAGGGTGGTGGTGGTGGTGAGGGTGGTGGTGATGGTGGTGAGGGTGGTGGTGGTGGTGAGGGTGGTGAGGGTGGTGAGGGTGGTGGTGGTGAGGGTGGTGAGGGTGGTGGTGAGGGTGGTGGTGGTGAGGGTGGTGGTGGTGAGGGTGGTGGTGGTGAGGGTGGTGGTGGTGGTGGTGAGGGTGGTGGTGGTGAGGGTGGTGGTGAGGGTGGTGGTGATGAGGGTGGTGGTGAGGGTGGTGGTGAGGGTGGTGGTGGTGGTGAGGGTGGTGGTGAGGGTGGTGGTGAG